TTTACATTTAAATATTAATTATCAATATGCCGTACATACCATGTAGCAGACAGCAATAATTCCAAACAATGCCACTAGAACCGTCAGAGAATTCATAACTAAGCCATATTTAATCAAAGGCTCAAAGGCAACTAATGAAATAAATTAAACATATTAACACTTGTTAAATAAAGAAAAACTAAATATATAAAAATTACAATTTAGATCACTATAACGATAACGATTAGATATAAGTTGAAGCTGAATGTTTTGAACAAGTTCATATAATCCTATAATCTAGTTACAGGAAATTGACAAGTGCAACTTAGTTGGTGCATAAATGTAAAAAATATTTTTTAATTAATGAAAATTACATACTATCCAAAATATTATTATAGTTATAACGCCCGCTCTCATAGGAATGCAACCGCAACATTTGTCCATTCGAGCCATGATTATTAGATGAAAAATTAGATAAAAAGAATTTCTAGCAAATTAGTAGTAAATTAGTAGGTTCATAAAGTGTTATACTTTTTAGGTTTCACTTAATATAATGGATTATTAATGTGTCTAAAGTTTATTCGTTTTAGATTTTTTTTGGCTTGAAATTGCTTTTATAGTAATTTGAATCACAACTATAGGTTTCTCAAAATAACGCCAACTTTCTTGCTCAATGACAGACGAAAATATATGAAGTTTTGATAAATGGGTCACAAACTATAATAAATTATACTTAGCTTTGCTATAATATCTATAAATAAAAATAAAAAAATAAAATAAGAAGTGAAATAAAAATACAAAACAAATACAAATAAAGTAAAATAAAGAATAAAGCAAAATAAAAATATAAAAGGCTGTGATTATACCAAAAGTAATTACTGTATAACGATATCTGACTGTAATTAAACAAACTCTTAATTTATTAGAACTCAGTTTAGGATTATTAATTCTCTTTCATGTTAATTTGCTTATTTAATTTATTTTTGGTTTAGGCAAACCCTTCCTAGTTCATTTCAACTCATTTTTGGCTCATTTGAATCCCTTTGGATTTAAGTAAACCAACAGCAGCTCCTCTAGCCAATCTAGATTCAAATGAATCAAATCCAAGTTCGAATCTATAAAAAAAATCTAATGGTTTAAAATTTAAAATTAAATCTCAATCCTGGTGCGATCGAATCTATAAAAAAAAATTTAATGTTTTAAAATTAAATCCCAATCTCGGTACGACACCGGGCCAGAGAGCTACTTTCTCCAAGAATAAAAACAGAAACAACCAATTTTGAATTCTATAATAGCACAATAAATTAGGCCCTAATTCTACATAAAAACATCCTTAAGAAATGATTACCTAAACGAAATTAATTATTAATAAAAAAAAAACCAATTTTATATCATATTATCTAATTAAGTTGCTTTTTTTGTATAACGTACATTAAAATTTACCTGCTTTTATTTAAAGTTGTTGGAACACGCTGTCTCATAGGGGTTTCTATAATCCCGACAAAATTGACACTAACCTTAACCTAATACGGGCTAACTTGTCGGGATTTTGACATTGTCGGGAAAATGATAGGATCCGGTCTCATAGTGTATAATTAAAAATGGTTGAAAATCATCTATGCTATCCAATAAGAAATCAATTCGTTTTATTACTCACGTTCCAAATACAGTATACTAGAATTGCATCTTCGATATATTGAAAGTTGACCGCAGATGTTAATCTTTAGTTAAGAAACATGCCATAAGTCTTCGTTTAGAAATTTCATATATATTACTTGTGAAAGTTTAATTTGCCCACTTGGAAGATACTGCAGTTCTGACATAGCACTGTACAATATTTGGTTTCAATTTCTAAATCAATAGAATGGTATGAATTAACGAAATTATAGATTAATGTATAATAAAATTATGTTCATTTCATATGTAAT